CGAGCAGCACACAGACATAGAGACAGAGACACAGAGAGAGAGAGAGAGAGAGAGAGAGAGAGAGAGAGAGAGAGAGAGAGAGATTACCCGATATCTTCCTGCAGTCGAGCAGCAGAGAGCGAATTGCCGCGAAACGTTGAACGCCTGACGCGTGACGCGCTCCGTGAGAACCGCCTGCTTTCCAGAACGGGTCGGCCGAAAGCGCGAGGCAGCGAATGGTTTTGGCACTTCTCCCGGTCCACGTTTCCTTACCTGCGCGGGCCCCGTAAGCAAACATTGTAGCGGGGTGAGATCCCATTTTCCTGGATCATTCATTTGTGACCGTTGATTTTGAATTCCGACTCTCCATTTCCCTTGGTTTCGTTCGTATTCGAACACACGTTTCTCAACAGTCCACGGCGGGTGTACCAACTGAGGGCCGTCGGTTATCGAGATCGCCGGCCAAAAATGAATAGCCACGGCCAGCGGGGGCCAAGTCCCACTTGGCTGAATTCTTCATTTCGGATCGTTGATCTTCAGAATCAACGGTCAGAAATTAAGAACTCGGGGTAAGTGGGACTTGGCCCCGGGACCTCGTCCCAAAGGGGAAGTGGGCCCAAGCGCCCTTGTCCCTGGAAAGACGCACAGAAGATTCAGCCCATTGCTTTCCCGTTCTCCTTTGAATGTTGGGAGAAGTGGGAAAATGGGCATGATGAAAAAAAAGGTATAATCTGCAAAAGTCCCCATAAGTTGAGATGAATGCCAAAATGCCCCTAAAAGATGTGGGTACAGCGGATTACGCCTCCGACAAAAAAGATATTTTGTGAAATGCCCCTTGTGTCGGTTGGACACCAATCTTTGCAACGTACCCCTACCGGGTACAATCCAACTTTGAAAAATGCCCCAGTACTTGCCAACTTCTCCTAGGCGCTATTGCAAAAGGCCAAGGCCCAGTTGGGGTGGTCCAGTTTGCAAAGTTGGACAACCGCCTGACAGGGGCACACAGGGGCACACACACAAAGATTTTGGCCCAAAAGGGCATTCCGCTCTACCCACGTCTTTCAGGGGCATTATGGCATTTATCTCAACTTATGGGGGTATTTTGCAAATTATCCCTTAAGCCACCACTACCTCCGATCCTTGTTTTTGCCGAGCCTGACTTTCACAGCGCACCGAGTTGTGCCGAACGGGGGAGTTTCATCCAAGAAGGAACAAGGGTGGGGGGGGGAAGAAGAAAAAGACAAAAAACAAACATCCCAAATGCCACGATAACTGTCAGGTACGTTCTATGAGGTGCTCGTGTGACTGTGCCCTCAATGAGGGCGTGTAGGGGACAAACACAGGGAAAGAAAAAAACAAAACAAAACAAAGTTCCCTTATGCTGTGATCGAGGGCGGATACAGGATGCTCCAGCATTGAGACAGTTATGTGCCACCCCTGAAATACGCCCTGCCTGGCTGGCAGGGCACTAAAACGACATCGGAACAAAAGCAAAACACAACAAAAAGCAAACTCTTTCCCCACAAAGTGGCCAGATACATTCTTCAAAGGCCTCTACAACTTCCACCCCCGTGAGGGCCTTCCCCGACATCCCTGGATTTGAAACTTTCATTTTTTTTTCGTTTTTTTTTCTTCTTTTGTTCGTAGACGTCCAACCCTGCTCCGAGCCCCGTGTTTTAAGGAGTAGGCTATTAGATGGAGTTTGTGTTTGCCTGTGAAAGGTAGTGGTGGTTTAAAAAAAAAAAAAAAAAAAAAATTGACATTATTTTTGAAGAACGACTCGGAAAGCAAGGGTTTCAATCCGAAGGCGTCGAGTTTACGCTAGCTTTAGCAAGTTAGGGTTTATTTCTGAAGGCACGGTGTCGAGCGCATCAGTCCCACACCGGGCGGGACCCTCCTGACCGCGTCACGCAGGAGTTGGTCTACTCGCGATACTTAAATGGAGCTTTCGCAGCCGCTCCGACCGAGTGCGCCAGCCATACCTCTCGCGAGCCTCTACGACAAGATAGGGCGTACGCGAGGTACAACTTACCTCCACCTGTGGGAGCTGTCACCTCCCTTTCGTAGGCGTATCCCCGCCAAGTTACCAGTCCACAGTACGAAAGTTAATCAGTTGCAATCGCAGAGGTAGGTCAGCCGAGGGTGTTTCTCGTACGCTGTAGCATAAGGGGTACACTAGGTCCCACGCCTCTATCGGACCCACATGCGAACCGATGCATTGGGGGGTTGAAGTCCCAAGCGTGACTCGTCGTCGGTCGACCAGGACGCATCTCACTCACCAAACGTTACACCACACTTTTAAAACATAAAATTAAAAACACACTCGAACATAACATAACAACACTCCTAGTCCCTTAAATGTCCAACCCACAACCTTTTGATACGGAAATCGGTTGAGCGATACGCGCGAGGCTTAGTATAAAACCGCGCGGTCGTAAGGCCTTCTCATATCGACGAGCAATGCATGCTTACGTAAGCAGTCGGGAAGATGGCGTACTATGTAGTACCCATAATCACGAGGTCCTCGATAATCTCGAGGGTCACATTTGAAACTCAAGTGTCGGCTGACACGTGCCTTGAGGGATTAACCTCTTAACGCTAAACAACATCAAATGCGGTTGAGAACCACACCCTCTTCTGCACCCTGTTGAGAGTGGGTGGTACACATGTTCATACTTGTAGTGACAATCATCTCTTATTGCCTTGGAGACTAGCTCCATCGCCTAGGGCCTAGAGATAACTCAAGGGGTTTCACTTTGACGATTGTCACGAATTATAACATCCAACTATAATAATTCTAAGAAGCAGAAGGGTAAAAGGGGATCTCTTTTTTCTCTTAAGGCATAATTTTGTTTAGCCCTTAGGCACGGTCGCAGTAGGTCGTACGAATACTCAAGGCATATGTGTGTACACACATAAAAAAGGTATATAATATGCGACGATCACTTTTCACAATCATGGTGAGACTCCTCTCAACCATACATATATGTGTGAGCGCAAACAATCAAATTCAGAGTCCAAACCTCAAGACATACAAGCAATCACATCAAAGATTTAAACAACATTCATGCACTACACGGGGTTAACTTCAACTATTCTCTGCGCTCACACCCCTCACTTTAGACGTACAAACCCCAACGACCTCAACCTTCCATAAATAAAAGCACTCAGTAATGATCATTCAATAAAGTCCGGGTTAAAACCAAAATGAAACAGTTCAAACCACAAAGCTAAAATTTTTATGTTGAGTTGGCGAGAGTGAATTGGAGTTGAATTGGAAACCGACGAATAGACAACTAACATGTTGTCAGCGATAACAGAAGATGATCCTTGTGGGATGAAGTTGAATCTAGTTTCAATCCTTAATCGAAATATTCAAAGAAGGTTTGTGACACAAAACAGGCCAATACCCAAGGCTAGACTATTCGTGCATAGAGAACAAATCTCCAGAGCACATTCTCACTCAATATAATTATTCTTATGCTAAGTTTAGGTCTGCTACTAAGTCATTGCTCAAAGAAAGGTAGACCTTTTACAACTTCTCCCTTATGCGGGGCGCATTGCTTGAATCGCCACTTGTCCAAATATAGTTTATCTTCTCAAAATTAAGCAAATTTAGGCAGTGTCTTTTTAGAATTTATACTAATTCCAATATAAAAACTGAAATAATCTCTCTAAGTTTGGAAAGTCAAATTTTGTCCAACTTTGTGAATTGGTAAAACTTCGAACAATATCGTTTTTAGAGAGGTAGACTTCTCAGACTTATTCTGATTCAGATATGAACTCAAACATAAGACTTGAGTTCTATCAAGACAAAATTTAACTAATTCTTTAGGTTTTTAGAAATTTCGACAGCGCTTCCCGTAGGACAAGTAGCTTTTCAAAATTTATGCAAAGTTAAATACTATGTCTAAAAATAATCTTGACTTTTCAAAGTCACATTTTGTCTAACGCTCTGAACTAGTAAAAATTTTGGCAAATATTCCCTTAGAAAAAAGAAAATTACAGATTCTAACTAAGTAAGATATAAACTTAGACAATCAGATTTGACTAACTCCTTGAATTTGTCAAAATTTCGACACCGCTTCCCGTAGAGAAAGTAGCTTACCAAGATTTATACAAAGCCAGGTATAACAAATGATCCAAAAAAATGCGAGAATTGACCTAAGTAAGAAAACAATTAGCTAAGAAAATACAAAACTTGAACTAACTCTTATAGCTCTAGCACGTGGGGAACAACTAAAGCAACTATCTGTCGAACTGAAACTAGACAAGTAGAGATCTCACTCAACCACATACAAGGTCAAACCACAGTGGTAAATACTCTCACCAGCCCCAAGGTTGAACCTTGTCAAACAATAGTTCATAGTCTTTCAATAATTTGTCCCTTATAATTATCGTTTCGTAAAAATGAACATTTTTATTTTTTGAACAAAATTGAAATTGAGTTTTTTCAGTTTTTTTCCAAAAACTCGTATAAATTTTGCTGCTCTTGAGGGTCCTGCGTTTTTAAAATGTCGGATCCCCTGGATGTATATGGACCTAGCTTCAAACCAGATACATCCCAAGGTCACCGTGTGGATGTATCTGGTCTCAAGCTAGGTCCAATTACATGCAGGGGGTCCGACGTTTTAAAAACACAAGACCCTTAGGAGCAACAAAATTTAGACGAGTTTTCGACCAAAAAAATTAAAAAAAATCAGTTTCAATTTCGTTCAAAAAGTAAAAAATGTCAATTTTGCTAGGTTACCAGTCGTCCGATGGCCGGACGTCTCGGCCGGATGTCTCCCCCAACCGTCCGGCAGGGGGGTTGTCCGGGATCCCGAACAACTACTTTTTTGCATTAATAAAAAAAAAAAAGAAAAAAAAAGGATGTTCTTACGCGAGACTGGGAGAACCCCCCAAAAAAGTTTGGGGTGATTTGAAGCATTTCCAGGAAAAAAAATGTTTTTGGGGGTGGGGAGGTTTGGGGTGGTGGTGTGGGGTGTATGAAAAGGGGGGGGGGGGGGGGGATGAAGTACGCGGATGCAGCTGGTGTTGCATGTACTGATGCGTCTGCAACACTTGCCGCATGTCCATACACCCACCCACCCACCCCCCCCCACACACACACATACACATACACGCACACACACACACACACACTGTGACACACACACACACACACACTGTGACACACACACACACACACACTGTTTTTCTCTCTCTCTCTCTCTCTCTCTCTCTCTCTCTCTCTCTCTCTCTCACTGTGGTTCTCCTCTCTCTCTCTCTCTCTCTCTCTCACACACACACACACACACACACACACACACACACACACACACACACACACTGACACACATACACACACACACACACACACACACACACAAACAAATAAAATAT